GGCGATGGGTTGTTGATTATGGGATGTTTTGATGTGATGTCGTCCCAAATGAGAAAAGATGTGGTTAATGTAGGGGTGGTTAGTGGCGTGGGTGGTCTGTCCTTCTTGGGCAGCCAAAAAAGTAGTGATGGGTGGTCTCGTCCCAGGAGATCGTGCTCTAGGTCTACCCAGAGCTTGAATCCTGGTGGTGCGTGCAGTTGTTGTATTTGGGCCAGTTGGGCCGCTTGGTAGTAATGGTAGAAGTTCGGGAGGCCCAGGCCTCCTGATTTTGTGGTTTTGTACATTGTGGATCTTTTTATGCGCGGTCTCCTGTTTGACCAGATAAATCTGTCTATGTGTACCTGGAGCGTTTTAAAGTCGTGTTTGGAAATGGGTATTGGTAGTGTTTGGAAGAGATAGAGGAATCGGGGGAGGAGATTCATTTTTATTGAGGCTATGCGTCCTATCCAGGATATGGACATAGGTCCCCATTTTTGCAGATCTAATTGTGCTTGGTGGAGTAGTGGTGTGTAGTTCAGGGCATATAATGTGTTCAGGTCTGCTGGGAGATATGTTCCTAGGTATCGTATATTGCTTAGGTTGTATTTGAATGGATGGGTTAGTTGTAGTTGTTCCAGGGTGTGTTGTGGTATTGCTATCGGAAGGGCCTCTGTTTTCTCCAGGTTTAGTTTGTATCCCGAGAGGGTTGCGTATTGTTGTAGGAGTGTTAGTAGGGGTGGTAAAGATTGGATGGGGTCTGAGAGTGTGAGGAGGATGTCGTCAGCATATGCCGCTATTTTGTATTCTTCTGATCTTATCTTAATGCCCTGTATTGTCTGATCATTTCGTATGTTTTGGAGAAGAGGTTCAAGCGAAAGGGCAAATAAGAGTGGTGAGAGTGGGCAGCCTTGCCTCGTCCCGTTTTTGATTACAAATTCTGGGTGTTTAGTATTGGGGATAAGAAGTGTGGCCGTGGGCTGGTCATAGAGGGCTTTCAGGGCGTCTAGAATGGGGGTCGGGAATTTGAATTTCTGGAGGGTGGCAAACAGGAATGGCCAGAGCAATCGGTCAAATGCTTTTTCAGCATCCATTGATAAGAGGAGGGTAGGGGACTGTCTTTTGTGTGTTACCCAGATCAAGTCAATTGTTCGTCTCGTGTTGTCTGCTGCCTGTCTTGTGGGGATGAAGCCTACCTGGTCAGGGTGGATTAATTTCGGTAGGAGTAGTTGGATCCGGTTGGCTAGGGTTTTGGTGATTATTTTAGTGTCTACGTTGAGTAGAGAGATGGGTCTAAAGTGGCCTGGGTCGAGATGTGTTTTGTCCGGTTTTGGGATGAGGCAGATGTTCGTTCTGAGCATTTCTTTGGGGAGTGGGTTTCCTTGGAGGAGTGAGTTCCCTAGAGCTGTGAGGTGCGGTATTAGTGTGCTTGCGTATGTCTTATAATAAAGACCTGTGAATCCATCCGGTCCTGGGCTTTTGTTGGGTTTAATGGTTTTTAGTGTGTTTGCCATTTCCTCCGTCGTGATAGGGGGAGACAGTCTTTCTATCTCCGTATTCGTTAGTGATGGGAGAGGAGTGTTCCGGAGGTATGTCTCGATGTCATGTGTTAGAGTTGGCGATGGATCGGGGTTGTGATTATAAAGTGTTGTGAAGTATTGGGAGAAAATCCTCGCTATACTATCCGGGCTTTCGTGTGTGCTTCCTCTCGGGGAGTTTATTTTAGTAATGCGTTTATTGTGTGTTTTTTGGCGTAGTTTACGGGCTAAGAGGGTGTCTGCCTTGTTTGATTTTTCGTAAAAGAGCTGTTTACTCCATTGGAGGGCTCTTTGTGAATCTTTGGCCATGTAGGATTTGATGGCTTGTTGGTGGATTTTGATCTGTGTTAAGATCGGTGGGGTTGGGTGTTGTTTGTGTTGAATCTCTAGGGCTCTCAGCGAGAGGAGGTGGTCCTTCAGTTCCTGCAATTTTTGCTTTTTGTGTTTTGTGGCCTCCGCTATTAGTTTGCCCCTTATGGTCGCTTTGTGTGCTGCCCATGATATGCCTGTGGATTCTACTGAGTCCTTGTTGAGTTGGAAATACTCTGTGAGTGTCGTTTGGGTGGACGCCCTTATTTCAGGGATGTGTAGGAGTGTTGGGTTTAGTCGCCATGACCATGTTCTAGCTGTTTGTGGAATTGAGAGTGTTAGGGTTATCTCTGCGTGGTCGGACCACGTGATCGTGCCTATAGATGTTGTAATGTCTTGAGTTAGGAGGGACGGGGATATCAGGAACATATCAATCCTAGAGTATGAGAGATGAGGGTGAGAATAAAAAGTGAAGTCGAGGGTTGTGGGGTTTTGCATTCTCCATACATCTTGGAGACCTGAGTGGAGTACAAAGTTCGAGAGTAGTTTGTCTATTTTGGCTGCTGGGGTAGTTTTACCAGTACGTGTGGGTTGTCGTTGTCGGTCTGTTTGGGGGTTGATGACCGCGTTAAAGTCCCCCCCTGTGATCATGTGGTGGGAGGGGAACAATTTGAGGTGGGCCTGGATGGCTGTCCAGAAGGACGGGTCTGGGTTGTTGGGGGCATATAGTGTAGTGATCGCGTATTTGTGAGTGCCTTGCTGTCCTGTTATAGTGAGAAATCTGCCTTGCGGGTCAGCTATAGTGTTTGTGAAGCTGATGGGGCATGTGTTCCGGATGAGTATTGCCACTCCATTACGTTTTCCGGTTGGGGAGTTTGCTAAGTGACATTCTTTGTAGTGTCTGTTTCTGAGTGGGAATGGTCTCGAGGTCTCAAAGTGTGTTTCTTGGAGGAGTATTACGTCTGCTCCCGTTCTATTGGCCCAGCGCATCAGCTGGTGGCGTTTAGCTGGGTTGTTTAGGCCTTTGCAGTTGAGTGAAATGCACTTCATTGTGCTGAAATTGGTTGGGGGTGTGGGTCTGTTTAGTGATTTAGATTGCGAAGGACCCAGGGTTTCTCGCCCGATTGGTTCCGGGGGGGGGAGGGGGGGGTTGTGGGGAGTGGGGTAAAGGTAAGGGTTGTGGGGTTTTAGTATCTAAAAAGGGGTGAAGAACGGGGTGACGGTGTGCCCTGGTCTTACTATAGGATCGCCAGGTGGTGTTGGGGGGGTTGTATGTGGTGCCTTAAGGGTTGGGGTAGGTGTGGTGTGGTCCCCTTGTGGGGGGTACTGTGGGTTGTGGTGAGGGAGAGAGGAGGAAGGTTTTTCACATTCCCGGTACCCTCTCTCCCCCTGCACAATTGCCAGTGTATCACTCACGGTTGGTCGGTGGGTTCTTAGTCGGTTCGTTGTGTCTATTCTTAAGGTGGTTTATTGGTACGGGGTGGGATGCTCCGTTTTCGGTCTTTCTTTCTTCTGTGTCATATGTGAGTCTGTGTTGTCACTTGTGAGGTTCGCTTGGAAGAGAAAGAAAATATATTAACATATATACAAGAAAAACATTAACATTTTGTAATAACTGTGGTTTTTGCCTCTGCTTAACCTGTGTGTTGACTTCCAGGGAAGTTAATTATCTTGGGTAACTGCCTAGATGTGCCTTGTGTGGGTTTTCACTTAATTCTATCCCCCCTCTCCTCCCCTTCTACGTTTCTTTTTTAAAAACCCGGTTTCGTCTTCGTCCCACTCTTTCTTCCCCCTATCCTGCTGTTGTCTTGTCCATTGTATGATCAGTGTCAGTGTTATGTGTGTGTGGTGTCCTTAGTCTGGGAGGGTGTAGTGAGTGTTATTGTGTCTAGTGGTCCATCTAGTCTGGAGTGTGATTCACCCTCTTTCTTCTTGCTACTAGGCCCTACGTGGTCAGTCTTGTCTCTCCTTCTCTGCCTTATCCCCCATTACCCTCGTGGTAATCATGTTCTACAGTGTAGAAGATTGCAAGAGTAATGTCTCTAGAGTTCACGTATTTTTCGTTTGGTTCTCTCTTCAGATCCGAGGCGGTTTTGGAGTGGGGATGTATTTCACTGGGTCCGTTGGGTGTAAGGTGGTCAGGGCTCGGTGCCGTGTGTTGGTGATTTCTCCTCTGGTGTTGTTATGAGGGTCAAGCTGTGTCCGTGATGGTTTCAAAGGGGTACCGGTCCGGTAGTGCGGTGCAGGTCAGTTCTTGTATGGGGGATGTTTGAGAGTGTCGAGGGGGGACCTCTTGGTTTTATCTCGGGGTGTGCCCCTGAGGGGGGGGTTGCCATGGGCTTGGGGTTCTCATTGCTGTTGGTTCTGGATCCATGGGGCTGATTCTTCGTGGTTAAGTTCCTCTTATTTGGCGTCCGTCCTGTACTTCTAGCGGCCTGAGCGGTGCGGCGGGGATTGTTCCCCTTGACGTCTAGCAGCGGTGTTGTCTTCTATGGCGTGGGGGGGTCTTTTCTGTTTGGCCGGATGCGGGGATGCAGCCCTGTCTCTGGAGCGGTCTCTTCCCCTGTATCCCGTTAGTGGTGTGGGATTCTGGAGCTGAATTCCTAGAGAGTCCGCCATCGGGCCCATTTCTGCGGCTGTGGTGAGGATATGGGTTTGGTCGCCTTTTTTGACCAGCAGTTTAAAGGGGTGGCCCCAAGTGTATTTTAGCCCCTGTTCTTGGAGGGCCAAGGTGAGGGGTTTTAGATCTCTCCTCTTCTTTAATGTAGTTGGGGCCAAGTCCTGGAAGAAGGTTAGGCGGACGTCTTTATACTTGGGAGGGCGGTTTCTGGCTAGTTGCATTAGTTTTTCTTTGGTTTGGAAGTAGTGGAGGCGGATAATTACGTCTCTTGGGGTAGAGAGGTTCAGATTTGGGGGTCGTAGTGCTCTGTGAGCCCGGTCCATTTCCAGGAGTGGCAGCGGTAGTTCGGGTGCCATTGCAGAAAAGATATCTTTCAGGGTGGTGCTTAGGGTCTCTGGCTGGACTGCTTCGGGCAGGCCACGGATTCGGATGTTATTCCTCCGTGATCTGTTGTTAAGGTCCTCCAGGTTGTCCTCCATGGCCGTGAGGCGGCCATGGAGGTAGGAGATTTCCTGGGACTGCGAGGTGGAGGTAGCTGTCAGTGCAGTGAGACGTACCTCTGTCTGGTCTGTGCGGGCAGTCAGTGTCTGTATTTCTGTTCTGAGGCCTGCTAAATTTCTAGTGATCTCTTCTGCCACGTGGGATTTTATGTCCACTGTGGCCTCCTTTAGCATGTCCCTGAGGCTCCCGATGGTGAGGGGGGTCGAGGGGTCAAGTGTGGGATCGGGCCCCTCTGAGTCAGTACCTTGATCAGCTCCTTGATAGGAGTGGGTAGGCCTCTGGGATTCCCCCGGCGTGCGGAACATGGAGGCTACCGATGGGGTGAGCTCTTCTTTCCTTTTCTTCCCGCCGCCCATATTGTGGAGCCTGATGCTGGGTGGTCGCCTGGGGGCTGTTTGGAGGGTGTTTGGGCCGTGTGTGATGCGGATGATGGCTGATTCTGTGCCTGGGGGAGAGGGAGCTGTGGGATCAGGCGTCCATCTTCCTCCGAGGTTAGGCTCCGCCCCCCCAAAAATATACTTTATCCACTAAATAGTCAACCGTATCTCTACGAAACTTGTCTAACTTTCTCTCTAGTACTTCTTCCCTATGTTTCGGTAACTGGGAGGAAATCGCAACCAATTTATCCTCTATCACTGTTTTCTCACCAGTCTCAAACAACTTTTTCTTGGTATCACTAAGCAGATTTTCTATTTCAACCAAATCCTGTTGCAATCCCTCTACTGTCAATGCTATGAGATCCAAACTACACTTGTTTAGGATTTTGTACCAATTGACACAAAAATCTTTACGAGCTTTACTAAAGTTTGGTCTAATATTAAGCCTTGGACCCCTTGGTATTCTCTTAACCCTAAGGTATTCGACAAGTGTTTCTGAATGCAACTGGTAATTCACCAATTTCTTTTCCAAATATTCAACCCGCTGGTACAGCGTGAACTACTTTATTTTTGAGGGTAAATATTACCTCCAAGTACAGGGTACAGCGATGGGGTCAAATATAGCACTGACATATGCCAATCTATTCATGGCAGCTTTTGAGGATACTTTTGTATACCGAGACCAGGATTTTATGCGTCATGTGAGGTTGTGGCTCAGGTATATAGACAATATTTTCTTTTGTTGGACAGGTAATGTGGATGATCTAATGGTTTTTAAAGAGAGACTTGATGGGTGTTTGTACACCATCTCCTTTACGTTGGAATATGATCTCCATGAGATGCATTTCTTGGATGTTAATCTACAGGTAAGAGGAGGTCGTCTATCATTTGATCTGTACCAAAAGCCCACAGATCGGGTTTCGTACCTGCATGTGGATTCCTTTCATCCAGTATCATTTATTAAGAATTTGCCATATGGTCAGTTTGTCAGGGCACGCAGAATAGTGTCTGATGAAGCTAAATATGACACTAGGGCACTGTCTCTACTTCAAAGCATTTTCTTTTAGAGGATATGAGACGGATGTGGTTTCTGGATGTAGGGATAAGGCGAAACTGCTTTATAGGAATACCCTCTTGCAGAAAAGAGCTAGGGAGGGCAAGAAAGGCATCCCATGCGTGATGACGTACTCGACTTACTTTGGTGAGGTTAAACACATCATTAACAAGCACTGGAAAATTTTACAATCTGATCCTAAACTTCTCCCTTGTTTTAATGAGAGACCTTTGTTTTTATTTAAGCGACACAAGAGCCTAAGGGACCATCTAATGAAGAATGTCAATCTACAGGGGAAGAAAGATACAGCTGATACCTGGCTTTCTGCGATACCGGGTATGTACCGCTGTGGGCATTGTATTTACTGCAATGGGGTGATCACGGGAGATAATTTTACGCATCCGAGGACGGGTAGGAGATACCCGATTCGGGAATTTTGTAATTGCCAGTCTCAGTTTGTGGTGTACACGCTGAAATGCCCGTGTGGATTAGCGTATGTGGGTGAAACCACGCGTACGCTCACTACAAGGATCGGGGAACACAAGAGCGGCATTCGGACGAATAAGATGCAATATCCGGTGGCCCGGCACTTCGCTGAGAAAAGACATACAGTTTCCCAACTGCGGTACATGATTTTGGAGGTGATTAAATCCAGTAGGGGTGGCATTTCGCAAGTGGTTAGGCTTAACCCCTTAAGGGCCAAACTTCTGGAATAAAAGGGAATCATGACATGTCACACATGTCATGTGTCCTTAAGGGGTTAAACAATGTGAGGTATACTGGATTTACGAGCTGCAGACTTTGTAATCCTAAGGGTCTGAATGAGGATAAGGATCTATCACCATTTCTATAATCCTGACAATATTTTACTCTGTCTGTATCTTTATATTTTGTTTTTATTTCCTTTTATAGACTGGAGCTACAGTGGCCATTTGGACCATGGTACTGGTGACGTTAGTGTGCCAGAAGATATTGAATCGATTAGAATGTATCATCATACACGTTGAATTGATTCACGTCTTTGTTATGATGACCCATTATGTGCATATATAGTTTTGTATCTCAAACTACAGCAAATTTTGTCTATATGAATTATGACTTATGATTATTTATATATTTAGTATACTGACAATATTGAACGATGGTACCCATGACTACGAGAGCTTTTTGCCATGAGTAGTGTTTTTTTGTGGTTGGTACGATGTTGTTTACCTATGCTATGTTTATCCTGTTGGTATGGGTATAGTCAGTGTATAGGTTGACGAAGGTGATGTAATAATGATTTTTCTAATGCTATATACAATTATAATGGATTCTTCAATAGCTTTGATATATCTTTATTTTCTCAAAATTATATATATTTGAGATGAATTCTTTAAATATGTTGCTATGTCTTTAAAAATTGATGATGAATAGCCTCTTAATATGCGGGTCACATTGTATTATATTGTCCTGTGCATAATATGAATAATTGTTTTATTTTGTTTGTGTAAATAATTATGGCAATATAGTTATTTTTGTAAATATATTGAATAATTACTGATTTACACTACATAGTTAAGTAGTTAACATGTACTATATGGAGAACCACTATGTATTGCATTACTATTGCGTATTTGGCACCTGTAGCGATCAGTCTATTACACATTGGGTGTTTGTGGAATTCAAAATCTTTTTTGCACATCACTTTTTGGTTTTCTTTTGTGTTTTGTCTTGTAATATTTGTGGGAGATGATTTTATGTATAGGTTCACTGATCACATTCTATTTATAAGGTTGATCTAAGATTATTTATTATTTATCTCTTTATTATTTTATTAGTCCTCTTTGACATATACATATGTAATACATATTCTGTATATCTGCATGGGGGGTACTGACATTTATGGAGTATAATTTGTAACATGGTGGATGGTATCCACTATTAGTTAGAATGTTGATGGTTTATTTTACTATTTTAGATACTAGTTGCTGTGCATTGTGTGTGGGCGTTTTTTTCGAATGATAGGGTACCTCAGTGGTTGATGATACAGTATTCACTAGCTTAGTAGAAGTGCTGCGCCTGCGCGAACAGTTTGCCGTTATACGCATGCGTGAATGAGATGTTGCTGCACGCGTGCGAGGCACTTATTGTAGTACACATGCGCGGGCTATTGTTGCGCACGGTGGCAACTATGATGCCTGTGGGGCGTATTGTTGAAAGCGTTCGCTTGCCAGTGAGTAAAATGGCGATTATAGACACCTGATACAGTGTGAGCATACTTACTGTTTGTAAGTACTAGAGGTTCGTTACCAGAGCAGTAATATTTATCATTTAGGTGATTTCTTTGCTCTGTGAATGTCTTTAGTGCACACAATTGATTCTTATATGATATTACTTGTGACTTGTAAGAATCTTTTTGGTATTTTACCATTTCTTTATTGTATTTGCCCTTGCTTCTGTCATTGTGTTTACTTTTCTTGTATGTTTTCACTTTGGTACTTTTTGTACATAATAAAGCTAAGTTTTTTGAGATTGTTATGGTGTGCATTCTATATTCTATAGATATCTAGACCAAAACAAAACCCTGAATTTGTGCTATAGGTTTGTTCCACTGTAATTTAAGTGTTTCTCTTCAAGTGCCCCATACATATTATACACCCTTTTCAAAGGACAGAAAGGGCTTTCATTTAACATCCTATATATATCACATATTACAACATTACTTGTGAATAAAATGTTGAAAATTGAGGGGGAAAACACATTATTTCACATTTTTGCTGCTAATAATTGTAATTAATTTAAATAGCCCCAGCGGCCGAGCAGGAGCCCTGGGGTTAGTGATGTGAGCAGGAATTTAACCCTCCTCACACGAAAATCTTTTAATAGGCATTTAAATGCCTATTAAAGTGTTGCTGGCAGCATGGTTAGTCCGCTGGGGCCATTTCATTTAATTGAAATTATTAAAATGTGAGATAATGTTTTTTTGTTTTTTTTTTAAATATTGACTTTGAATCTACTTCCAATTGTCACTTTAGTGAATAACACTTCTAATGTGCGGCTGGCTGGATCCAAATGGATTTCAGAACATACATTTATCTTTATCTCTAGAAACATTGCATTAAAGATGGAAAGATGCAAATAGGGTTATACATATCTCAGTATATATGAGCAGTATTTGAACATAACTTTGACTTGCCATCATGTTTATTTATTTTACTTTGCCTGGGGCATATATTTAATATCCATATTGCTCAAGAAATTCCAGAACACTTATAATTAGTGCTTATTTTTACCAATCAGTACGAGTTCAAGAGATACATAGCATGATCAAACAATGAGAACTGGTAAAATAGTTATGTTGTAATGAATGTGAATATTATTTCCTAGTGGTAGACAACAGATAAATATTCTGTATAAAGTGAATTTCCTTCCTGACGTTACTCTAGTAAAGCCATTCAATTACCAGCTCCTTTTACTCTTTCAATGATTAGATCATGGAATGCATCGTATTACTATTGGTTCATCACCAAGCCAACAATCCATAACAATACGGAGTAACTTTTTACGATAATTAAAGAAGACATGCTATATTTAATGTGTGCATTTTTTATCATCTACTCATTCACCAAGTTTCTTTTTTCATTTCTTTATTCATTTGTATTCGGATTAGGAAGGACAGTACAAAGCTATGACGGTGCGACAATACTGACAAGACAAACGTAACCGTAATTTTCTCAGGGATGGGCTACCAGTTTGTTACGTCCATTTGGGGCCCACGCACATTTTGTTGCCTCTCATTTACAACTTCTGGCTATTTAAATCTCTACGAGCATAGCAGACATAACCAGAATATTTGCACTTTCTCTGGTGACGGATGTAATGAAAGTATGTTGATCCTGGTATCAGTGGTTAATTGACCTTTTATCTACAGCCACTATTACTTTTTCATCAAAGAGTGTTGTGCAACATTTTAATTTTTTTTTTTCTTTCTTCGAAGTGAGATGCATTAATCCATCCAGTGGCTCTTAAAGGCACACTCTAAGTACCGTAACCACTATAGTGTGCACTACACTACAGTGTACATTTGCAAACAGTTTGACTTCTTACCTAGATTCCCCAGATGTCAGCTTCTGTTAGCTCACCTGGTCTAAACTCTACCGTACAGGGCCAGCTCATTAGCTGAGAGCATCCGCTTAGCTCAATGCAAAGAGCTTTTGCTTTTACAGAGGAGGTGACCAGTGCCTGGTGGACCCCAAGTAAGTTGCCAAGCTGTTAGCAAATGGTTTGACTACTTACATTGGAAGAATGTCAGGGCACCCCTAGCACCATAGGAACCCAGGTAAGTTGTCAAATGATTAACAAGTGCTTTGATCACCTACATCGGTAGGATGTCAGGGTAGTGCTAGCACCATAACTACTAATGTGCGCTGCAGTGGTTATGGAGCTTGAAGTGTTCCTTTAGCCCATGGCTCAGGACTAGAAACTGTTCCCCGCGTTATTTCAGTGGGTTTCCAGTGGTTCAGGTACATCATATTCAATAGGCATGTGGCAATTGTTCACAATAAATTGTTTACTGTAGCAGCACTCTTCCTAAAAAAACAATATTGACCCCTCTGATGCTAATACAAGTCTAAATGTGTATTGCAATATAATATCAGGTCACTGAGCTAATTTTACAGTTGAAGAGCCACGCTATGCACATTCCTGTAAAATATAGGATAAAGGAACACTATATTGTCAGGAATAAACAATAGCCCTGAAGTGGCTGTTTAGGTGACCGTGTCCCATCCGATATCAGTAAAAATTCAATGCTTTGCAAAACACTGTGCTGTGACAATCAGCATTTCCTCATAGAGATGCATTGAATCACTACATCTCAATGGGAAATGTTCAGCAACGCCATAGATTGTGTGAAAACTGTGTAGTACTGGATTAGGAAGCACCTCTAGTGGCCATTTAAGTGACTGTCACTAGAAGTGTTACTGGGCAGCAGGTGATACTAGGCTTTTCTTTGTAATTGATGCCTTTTCAGAGAAAAGGCAGCAATTACATCGGCAGGCTATAGACACCAGTACCACTACATTAAACAGTAGTTGTTTTGGTGACTATAGTGTCACTTTAATTGCCATTATTAGTTTATTAATGGCTACCTGTGCTGTTCATGACATGGGGGTGTTGAGATTGTATGTATAGTTTACTATACCCATAACAAAATTCTTCTGTTTGGTTTCAACCAATGTCCTGATTTCCATGAGCTGTAGAGGATGCAGAGAATTGGGAAGTAAATCTCTCACTCCCTCATACAGAAAATGTAAAAAAAAAAAAAAAAATGAATTACCTTGTAACAAAAGAGAAAAAAAACAACTATATCAAAATATATCTAAAAAGGGGGGGAAAAATACACATTTATAATCAGAGTAGACATTTCCTCTAGAATATCTAGGGGAATTATGGGTATTTTGTTGCTTTTGTGGTATTGTGTATGATACCTATGAATGAGGTCTTTGCATGAGGGCTGGCTGTTTTTAGAATTGTGTGTGGATGATATGTCACATTGTGTGTTTGGTGGTGTGTTTTTGTGTAGGGCTGCTTGTGGTATTGCATGTGAAAGGCTTCTTGTGGGGTTGTGTACGTGTATGTTGTGTTGTGTATGTGGATTGTCAGTGGTATTTGTGGGTTGTTTCTATTATTTGTATGAGGGGGAGGCTTCTTCTCCAGCTCTCGGAATATATAGCAGTGTGGATGACTTCCATTGAGTCCAGTGGGAAACAGGCTGACCAGGCACAGGTCAAGGGCAGGGTCTGAGATAGCTGATGTGGGCTGCTCTACTCCAGCACGGATTCCTGTTCACAAGTGCTGGAATGCATGAATTGAGGATTTCCCCTCACCACCCGCAATCACTGCTCGGATCAGATATCTGAAATCCCACTGGGACTCCTGATAGGCCAGAGCC